TCCTTTCTGGAATGAGTGTCTTATGACCCACAATCAAAATGTGGGGGAAGATTAGAGACCTGAATTGGGGAAGGTAAAAGGAGGACAAGAGAAAGTCAAAGAGAATTCTTTTGACTGAGGCCTGCAGCATCCAACATTATAACAAAAGACTATAACAAAGGACATGGGAATTATGAGGCAGAAGCTGTGGGCAAAATCCAATATCATATATACATATGCATACACTACAATGCCCTTGTGTGGTTTCTTTCCTTTGAATGTAGGCTGAACTTAGTGACTTGCTTATAATGAAAAGAAGACAGTAAAAAGGATATACTATCACTTTTGTGATTAGGTTACAGGTGAATGGAACTTCCATCTTACTAGTATTTTCATATTGCCCTATTAGCTTGTATACTTTGATGAAGCAAGCTGGCATTTTGGAAAGGCCTGCATGGTAATGAACTGAGAGCAACCACTTGCCAAGAGCCAGTGAGAAATTGAAGCCCTTCAGTCCGATAGCTCACAAGGAACTGAATCCTGGCAACAACCACATGAGTGAGTTAGAAGTAGATTCTTCCCTAGATGAACATTCAGATGAGACCACAGCCCCAGAAAATGCCTTAATTGTAGCTTACGAGAAATTCTAAAATGGAGGACCTAGTTATGATGTGCCCAAACTCTAGACCCACAGAAACTATGAGATAATAAATGTGTGTTTTTTTCTTCTAAGATTTGAGGTGATTCGATACAAGGCATAGATAACTAATACAACCCACATGATATCTAGGAGTTCTCTATGCAATCCAGCCCACCTTAGGGTTGGGCTCCCATACTAAAATATGCAGCCAAGTCTTCAAGTTGTAATAAACTTTTCATTTGTCAGACATTGTCCTATATGCATTTATTTCCCTCTTGGACTTTGTGGGGAGTCATCACTGGTTGAAAACATAATTAAATGTCCTTGCATCTCTTGTCCAAATGCCATTTTAATCTTATCCTGATATCTGCCCTATTTCGGAGAGACTTAGCATTTATGGGACAAAAATCCATAGTGGACGGAGAGTGGTGCATTCATTGGGCAAGGTCTTTGGAGTTCAAACCACTGTTGTTTCTGGAAATCAGGTTTCACTTTTGGAATCGCTTGTCTAAGAAGTGACGAGCAGCAGAATTGTGTGTGGGTCAAGGCAGTTGCACATCAAAACAAGCAAAGATATAGGACCTAAGATATTTGGCTTTCAGGCATTTAGAGCCAGATATTGATAGAAGGCACTGAAGGGGGTGTCCCAGATTTGGTTCCCATTTATCTTACTTTGCATTCCTTCCTGATTTCACCAACATGTTAACTGGCATGTGAGGTTAGAAAAAGAACCACGGCAGGAAGACACCCTGAGGATTCGAGAAGTTTGTCCTCATTGATTTGAAGAGCTTATATCATCAGCTCTCAAGTTTGCTCTGGTTATCCAGTTGACAAGCCTAAACTCTGATATCGGGTCTTTGTATGTTGAGATTAATGAATCTGACCATGGGGAAGTCCAGTATATTCCTGGCCATTTCTTTCCCATCTATCTCATTTCTTTAAGGCTCTGGTTATTAACTGATCTTCTAGCTAAAGATACCCAGAGGAGTCCACCAGAGATAAGCTGGGGTGGCTAGACCAGAAAAGCCACGAATGTGTGCCAAACAAATGGTTGTGAATTTTTTAAAGCCATTAAGGTTTGAGGTGGCTTGTACTTGGTATTAGATAACTGATATACGCTTACATCATGTGCATGTTTCTACCAAGTCATCTTCTTGGTAGATTTTGAGTCCCTGAAGGCAAAGGACCATGACTCATTAGAAGGTCTATTCAGGCCCTCCTTCTTGGTAGTGAGCTTGGCTGTGAACCAATGGGGACCTCTGTGACCAACGTAATGTCAGGTGAATCACTCCTTTAATTACTTTTTTATGTTGACTGGTTTCCCATACTTGACTAGTCCCAAAGAATCTTTTGAGTAGCCCAAAATACCCGTCTACAGATAATCCACCACTGTGGTTTTTCTCCCAAGCATACATCCTCTTTGTTCCAAGAACAACTTTGAATTGTTATTCAGAGAACCATCTGTCACCCCATCCAGTTCCAGTGTTTTGGGGAGACACTCCACCTCTAGCTGCAGAGATGAACCCCATGATGCTTGTTGTAGAGAGCCTCTAAGATGGTCCCCAAAGACTCCCACTTCCCAATAGTCTCATCTTGTGTAATCCCTTCCCCTTGAATGTGGGCTGGACTTAATGACTTGCTTCTAAACAACAGTAGACAGCAACATGATGGGGTGCCACTTGAGATTAGGTTACAAAAAGACTGTGAATTTCAAGTTGGGCACTCTACCTGACTCACTCGCTCTAGGGGAAGCCAGCTGCCACGTGCAGATGCAGCCCTATAAAGTCATAAGAGGTGAGGAACTGAGGCTGCCAATAACCATGTGAGTAAGCTTGGAAGTGAATCCCATCTCCCTCCAGTTGAACCTTCATATGTGACTGCAACCCTGGCCAAAACCTGATTGAATCCTCAGGAGAGACTTTAAACCAGCTAAGTCGTACCCAGATTTCTGACCCATGGACATTGAGAGGTCATAAATGTTGGCTGTGTTAAGCTTGGGGGTAATTTGTTACATAGCAATAGATAACTAATACGGCAGGTTTGGCCAATCAAAGCACCTCACCTGCCTCTGGTCTCCACCCAGACACAGTACTTGACTCAGGAATATACATGTGACTTGACTGAGCCAATCAGAGTAAGCTGCAGGAATTTTATAGGAGCTCCCACTCTTTCTTATGGGACATGATCCTAGGAAAATGAGAGGCAAGGATTTCTGCAACTATGTTGTCCTTGTGACTAGAAAGCCTTGGACTATCTTGTTGGTCTCCATAACCCAGCACCTAGAACTGTGCTTAACTCGATAGGTGCCCATTATTTACTTATTTATATACTTATTTATGTTTTTGAGTTGGCATTTCACCCTGTTTTCCAGCCTGGAGTGCAGGAAAACATGGTTCACTGCAACCTTGACTCTCTGGGTTCAGGCAATCCTTCTGCCTCAGCCTCCCAAGTAGCTGGGACTATGGGCATGCACCACATAGCTGGGCTAATTTTTTAAATTTCTTTTGTAGAGATGCAGTGTCGGTATGTTGCCCAGGCTGATCTCGAACTTCTGGGCTCAAGCAATCCTCCCACACTGGCTTCCCAAAATGCTGGGATTACAGATGTGACACACCAAGCCTGGTAATATTTTCTAACTGAAAGATGGATTTATATCCAGCAGGGGGAGAAAGAATGGGAAGGTGGCATGGAATGGGAAGGAATGGGAAGTAGTAATGGGCTGGGCATGGTGGTTCACACCTGTAATCCCAGTACTTTGGGAGGTTGAGGTAAGAGAATTGCCTGAGGTCAGGAATTCGAGATCAGCCTGGCCAACAGAGCAAGATCCCAATCTCTAGGAAAAAAACTAAGAAGATTAGCTGGGCATGGTGGCATGCATCTGTAGATCCAGCTACTTGGGAGGTTAAGGTGGGAGAATCACCTGAGTTCAGGAGTTTGAGGCTGCAATGAGCTATGATTGTACCACTGCACTCCAGCCTGGGTAACAGAGTGAGACCCTGTGAAAGGAAGAGGGAAAAAAAAAGAGAGAGAGAGAGAGAGAGAGAGAGAGAAAGAAAGAGAAAGAAAGAAAGAAAGAAAGAAAGAAAGAAAGAAAGAGGGAGGGAGAAAGGAAGGGGGAGGGAGGGAAGGAGGGAAGGAGAGAGGGAGGGAGGGAGGGAGGGAGAAGCCGTAATATTAAGCTCTTCTGTAATACCATCTGAAATGGAACACATCATCAGACATCTGTAGAAACCCAGGTATTTTTGTTTTCTGATTGGGATGCATAGAACACACAGTTTCATCCTTAGTTTAAGTTGCTTCAGCCAATTTTAACTGGCAGAGTTTCTAAAATGTTGCAGAGATAAATGCACTAGGTAGGATCAATGGGTCCACTGTGTCTTCCCAATACTTCATTTATGGGGCTCATTCCAGAAGGGAAGAGATGAATAAACTCTGTGGAGAGTCCTAATATACTTAGTGTGGCAGGTTTGCTCTTCCCTGCTACCCACCAGCCTCAACAGTGACAAAGCCAAGTGCTGCAGATTGAATGACTACATCTTTTGAAAGAAAAATAGAAGCATGACTTTGTTCAGAGACAAAGGCATCAGGCTGACACCCAGTGATTCAGTATGTACCACTCTACACTGTAAGAGGGGCTCCTTATCCTGCCACAGTGTTTAGAAGCTGTCTTCCATATTTTCCCCCTCTCTTGGGCTTCCCTGAACAGGGATAGCTGTTGGAAAAAAAGTGCACACACCCCTTTTTCTGGCAGATGCTAAGCTAAATTAGGAGAAAATAGTAAAAGCTAAGTAGTTTTACAAATAGTAACATCCTTATAAACCACAAAAAAGTGTTCTCTCTATACTAACACCAGTCTGCTGACTGACTTCTGCACGGCTGGAATAAAATCTCTGTTGTGTACTTTGTGCTTGAGGACTTAGTACATACAAACCACTTCAAGTGGATGGTTGTGCACATATCCTGATTATGGTCACAAGAAAATATTGAGGTCATTAAATCCGTGACACACAAATGATAGTGGTCTCAATCTCAAATGGTTATTGCAGGAAGAAAGGTGTATGGAGAATATAAGACAATAGGGGGTAGTGGAGAGTATGGCAAAATGAGAACACATACTGCTCTGAAAAGAGAGTCATTTTTTAGTTCTGCTGAATTATTTCCACATGGAAACATAGGCCTGGTGCTTCTAGTTTTTCTTTTCCAAGTGAATCTGAAAGTCCAGAAGCTTATATAAAACATCTCGTGTCTTAATGTTGACAGTGATTTTAGTTAAATGAAATTCTGTGTGAGAGAAATGAAGCATCTACTGGCCACAAACAGATCTTCAGTTTGTAACCTCTGTAACAGAATCCATTTGAAAACAGACATGTAAACAAGAGAGTTTGCATATATTAATTCAGTTTAATCATATCAATTCTTAAACAAAAATTTTCCTCCAAGAGACAATAGTTCACGGTAACTGCAAAGCTTACTCACAACTTTTAAAAATACCAATCATGCTTAGCATTCAAAGAAGATATTGTAGAATAACTGTAAAAACTTTAACCAGGAACATCAGCTTCTGACTTTAAAAATTACAAATACTGAAGCATTTTGGAATCAGACACAGTAGTTTTGACATCGTCTGTTCATTTGATGAGTTTCTGGAAGTTTGGAAAATTGTATCTCTATAATTGGATAATGCACTTATTCTAAACTAAACATTTTCAAATGTAGAAAACAAACTAGCAAGCTACACATACAAAGAAAAGCCCTCGAGGACAAGCTCTCCGCATGTTGAATGCCAGCATATGCACCATGAATCCTGGAAGACTAGAATTGATACATACACTTGGCCTGAAGTCTCATACCCCAGGCTCAACAATGGAGTTTGCATTCACCTACACATTAATGACAAACTCTGGGTTAGTATAAGAGAAGCCAGCAAATTCATTTTGGTCCAAGTTCATGATGAAGAGTTTATCAGTGGGAGTCAGCTCCACAGGCTGTCTGGTGAACTCTTTGTCGAAGTTGGAGGTGTCTCGCTTGTCTCTCTGCCAAACGGAAAGCAAACACATTAACACAGCATAAGAGGAAGGAAACAGGACCGAGACATGCCAGTTATCAGGAGGCTGACGACATCTCATGAGCACAGTCAGAAAGAGTCCTGCGCCGACAAGTTCTAGCAGCTGCATTACACATACTAGCTTTCATTGCACATTGTATGTTGGCTTCAGGATAGAACTTGGTGGAAATGTTCTAAGAAAGGAAATAAGTCATTGAATTTCTTTAAAGATTGCCATAAAGTGGTGTGTGTGTGTGTGTGTGTGTGTGTGTGTGTGTGTGTGTGTGTGTGTGTGAGAGAGAGAGAGAGAGAGAGAGAGAGAGAGAGAGAGAGAGAGAGAGGTGTATTTTCTTTGGCTTTGAGATGAATAGAATTGGAAACTACTTATTAACATGCTTAATGTTATAGAATTAATCATTAGGTAGAGTGTCCTAGAGAAGACCATTCAATAGCAAGCCCTGTGGCTGGGAGGCCTCTTTCTTGGAAAAGGTGAACTGCTGCATATCTACTCTGCTCCCAAGGAGGCAGAATGGTCATGTGGGGAAATCAGTTCACTGCTTCATGAGAGGGCTACCATGGTTGGTTCAAAAACCCACCTACAGACTAAGACTGGGTTTTCATCAGTCAGGGGTTCTCTCCAAAGATGTTTACAGCATGTACCTAAACAACACACTGTAAGACACAAAACCCAAAGCTCCAAGGAAGGTCTGTAAGGGCAGCCCGTGTACAAAACAAAGCAAGCCGGTCTTCTTAATAAGTCTAGTATTTCTTTCTTTCTTCTTCTTTTCTTTTTTTTAAGCAGGGAGGTGGGGAAGAAATGAACCCCAGTTTACTAACTATAGTTTGGAGCAAGTTTTATCAGGGAACTTCAGAGTGTGGGTTCATCAACAGATCTTCTGCAGGATGCTCTGACCACTAAGGGTCCCTGTCAGTCTGGCATCTCTTCCCACCTGTACCACACTCACCTGGAGTAGGTAGAACTGGAGTCCCCAGCCTCCACTGTTTGACATTTGAGAAAACTGAGGCACAGGCAGGAAAAGTGACTTGCCCAAGATTGCAGACCACATCATGGCTGACCACACCACAGCTAAGTGTGCGTCATCCAGTCCCTCTGACTAGAGAGACAGTCTAATGGCTGTTTTACCACAGGACAACCAAGGAATAACGCCTGGGACTCACTAGTACCAGACAGGTTGCTAGGCTGGAGCCAGAGTCGTGGTAAATGATAAAGACAGGGGTGGTCACTGAGAAATGATTGACTTGTTAGATTTTGGCCAGTCACCACTCAGGGATTGGGTTTAGCCTCTACTGGGCACTGACTGATAAGGATCTCTCATTGCTGGGCTCATTCCCCTTTGTAAAACACCTTGCACAAGAATGACCTCTTTTGGACCTCTCTCCTGAGGTATGTAAAATGTCTCTATGGAGTTTCCTATTTATTCTTTCAGTGTCTGTCTGGGAATGTGGAAGTGAGGGGGGCAACAGGGTACCAGGAGCACACTTGGGCGAGCGTGGACAGAGTGGAGCAGGTTGAAGATGCCGATGGAGCTGTTTTGCAGATGGCGGGCTGTCTCCCACCATGTCCCGCCCCCTCTGCTTTGCCTTGTCCCTCCTGCTGTTAGCCTGTGCTGGCCTGTGGGAGGTTCCATCCCCCAGGCACTTGATGTGTTACTTCCTGTGTTCAGAGCGAAGCTAAATGCCTCCTCTTCCTTTAACACTGTCTGTGATCTCTCTCCCAATCCCCACAAGTCATGCTTCGGTGTCCTTTTAATTGTCTTTGTTGCGTTTATGGCTTTCAGAAATGGTCTTGTGTATTCAGTATTTCTCTCCGAAAGGGCAGAGTCACTGTCAGTTTCTCTTGTGTTGTACTTCCAATGTCAAGAATAGGACCTAGCACATAGTAAGCGGTTCACTATTATTTGTTGAATGAATGAATCAATGAATTAAGACTTGACGAAGGATAAGCCACCTCACTTTTTCCAACCCAGAGTCACCCTGAGCCAGGGAACTCACTCTGAAGCAAATCAGTGGAATTTATTCCCAAAGATCCCAAGTGTTTCTTAAGTGGGCTACTGTCTATTTTGAGCCCTGGCGATGAACTTAACTTTGTCAGGCCCCTTTAAGGTCTGAGAGCTCCAGGGCTGTGTGTGGCTAGAAGGCAGGAAGATCTGGGCCTAGAAGACAGGCAACTGCCTGCTTTCAGATCTTCCCTGGCCTTATTAATCCAATCTGGCCTTCACTGACTGTGGGCATCCAGCAAAGGCTCCCTTCCCATCAGTCCCAACTTTGGATGCCCTTCCCCACTGGTGCTGGTGGTGACTAATGCTTCAGCCAGCCACAGGGTCCAGACAGGACTTGTTTTAATGGGGTTTGTCCTATGGGCAGATCCCTATAGCAAATACTCCTGGATTTTACCCTGGAGGTTGGGAGAGAATGAGCCTCTCTGTTGGGTAACTCCCTTGGGTTGAGAGCATCTGAAGCCACATGAGATAGAAGCACTCATCCAAGGAGGGTTATTAATTCCACTGACCTCCTCTTAATCCCCCAAGAAGGTCATTGTGGCCATGGCCCTGTCCTTTCTTAAATGAGCTCTGTTTCTGGGTCTCCTCTGCACTGAAAATGTAGATAGAAAAGGTAATGGCAGAAATTCTGTCTTTCCACAGAAGGCTTCTCTGACCAACCCTCAGGAAGGCATGCTAGGGGAACTGAGACTTTGGCTTGAGTATCTATTTCTGCAAACTATTAAACTTTTGAAAAGTAATGGTAAGAATTTGGAAAATGTAGAGTGTAATATATATATATAATGCCTATCTATCTATCTATCTATCTATCTATCTATCTATCTATCTATCTATCTACCTATCTCTCTATATCCATCCGACATTGTTCTTTCAAGTTGCCTCAGATCATTTGTCAATGACTCACTATTTCTCCATGATTTTTATCTTCCTGAGAGTATATCCAAGCAAAGTGAGAGCACAACCCAGATGAAGGATCAGATGAAGGATCTCTGATAATTTGCCTGCTGGTGGGCATGGCTTAGAGATATCTACCCTGTTGTGCACAGAGCAGAAAGAGCACTGTGCTGAGGGTCAGGAAACCTGGATTTGTATCTCAGCAGATTGGCCTTGGGCAAGTTACTTCCTCTCTCCAGATGCCAGTTTCCTCAACAATGAAGTGAGGGGGTTCTGCCCTGATTTCCTCCTTCTATAACCTCCTAAGCTTGTCAGCTAAGACTTCAAGTCTGTTTCACCTTAGGCCAGGATTGCCACTGCAATGGCAGCAGCAGGGAGGGTCCCTAAACCTGAAGCAATAAAAGGGGAGAGAGGGATGAACAGCAGGGGACTTTGCCTAAGTGGAGCTCCTTAGCATGGTTTTCTTAAAGATGAGAAATCTTACTTCAAGGACATTTGTCAAGTTTTCAAAGTTCTGTTGATGGTCTTTCAGAAACCTGGGAACTTCTGGAAATCACTTGAACTGTGATAAGAATTCTCTTTAGGGCTGCCTGAGAATAGCAGGGCACAGTAGGCAAGGAGGAGGAGTCACCTGCTGTCTTAATCCGCTCAGACAGAAATGAAATTTCTCCCACCCAAGGGTTTCCTTGGGCTTCGGGGAGCTCACTAAGCTGCTTGCTAGAAAGAATATTTAGTCCAAGCTGGGAGGACTGGTGACTTTGATAAGAACATTAAGAGCCCCATTCATGTTCCCAGCTGGTCTCTAAACTTGACTCTGGTGAGAATGTGGGTCTTGGGCTCCAATATCATTGGAAGCTCTGACCAGGTCATCCCACCCCACTACCTGTCACCAGGAGTCTCTGAACAGTCCACAGTCCCTGCCTCTCTGACTGGCTGAACACTGGGGCCAGGATTAAGCTCTGGATTTAGTTCCTTTCTCCCAAGTTCCTTCCTCAGGCCCCACTTTATTTCCATATTTTGGGGTCCACATTTTTCAAAAAGAGCAGTTTTCCTTGAAATAACATTTCTTCTTCTTTTTTTTTATTGTATCTTGATTCTAGAAGAAAAGTGGCACATAACAAAAATCCAGATACAAATGAACATTTCCACAAACATTTTGCAAAACAACATCAAAGGGAAGAACACAACCATCTTTGTTTCAAGAAATGGTGTCTTTCTCAGAGCATTTAGCTTTCCAAAGTCAGCAGCAAACCTAGACAAACCCCATTCCCATAGGCATGGGTCTGTTAGGCTCCACGGCCGTCGGTCACCGTCTTGGTTAAATCAAAGCAGGTCATTGTGGTTAATAACATTTGGACACATATTTTAAAGCATGTGTAACAAAGTGAGTCACTTTTTTTTTTTCATTTGAACAACAGAAATAAAATCCCAAAGCAAATAAAGTTTGAAATGTAATGTAAAACCATGGCCCCTTGGGACCTTGCTAGAGTGACTGTGTTATTTTAGGCAGTGGTGCCAAATGCCCTTTTCGAGTAGTTTGGGGGTGAGGGTGATCAGAGACATATACTACCAGAAACTACAACAACGAGATAGCACCCAAGCTGGTTGCCTTTTGACCCCTCAAAGTGCTTTTAGATTAAAACTGTCTAAAAACACATTCTTAGAATTTTAGAACTTTGATAATCTTCTTAGGTTTAAGTTAAAAAAAATAACATTTTATTTTGAACATGTTCTTTTCAAAGCCCTGATGCTTCCAGAACAGTAGAATAGAGGGACTTCCTCTAGGCCAAAGCAACCATACACTCGGATACAAGCCAGGCCTGGAAGTGGGAGGATACTGCTAGCATCCAATTAGCCATCCTTTTGTAGGAAGAATCTGGATTGGATGGTGGGGGGGTGAAAATGGCAGTGCAGAGAGAGAGGGAAAGAAAGCAGGCATTTTCTCTCCCCACTGGGTCTACTTAGCTGACATGCTACAGAAAATAAATTGTTAAGAGGACTTTGATAATGTGTTAATTATGCAGCTGCATTTTCCATATGCCATCTGCATAATCCCATCTCGTAGAGATGCTCCAAACTACCTGAGGACATTTGGGTTCTGAAACACGGTCACTCTAGTCTTATCAGAAAATCAAACATGGATGCAACTTGGCAATGAAAAAAAAATGTCACCACAATAGCCGTTGAGCTTGAATGACAGAAATGAAGGACGGAGATCTACACATCTACTTAGCTCTTGACTTCAGGTTTTAAAAATTCAGAGTTAACAAAGGAAAATCCTTCGAATTCTGATTGGTCAATATTCCTGATGACTTCCTGGTCAGGAGGTGTTAGGACTGGTGGATGGCGGGTGAAAAATCGGTCGAAGTTTTCAGCATTTCGCCCACACTATGAGAGGGGAAGAAAAGAACTTGTGGTGGGTGGGAAAAAAAACAAAAACAAAACAAAACGAAAGCCCAAACAAAACAGAACCTAGCATAATTGGGTGTGGTTTCTCCAATCCCTTCCTTTCCAGAAACTCAAAGAGGTTGTTTCAATGATTAGAAATGAGAGCAACATAAAATGCAAAATTCTCATGAACTTTGGTGCATGACCTTGGACTCCCAACCTTCAGTTTTTGTAGCTCATGAGCTGCCTCTGGTGTCCTCCTGGGTAGTCAGGAGATATATGGTAAAGGCATGAGATGGTGGGGCTAGTGGCATGTTGCATGTTCGCCCAGCCCACCCCAAGGAGTCAGCCAAGCGCATCTGTTGGAAAAGATGGGATTAAGGTACCTGAGATGTTTCATATGGTACAAGATGCAAAGTAATAACCCATTTATACGTCACCTGGGAGATCCTAGTATTTATAGCAGCAGATCCCTCAAAGGGCTGTCCTCCGACTCTCAATCAGGAGCAATAGATGCTTTCCAGCTCAACAGGATACAATTTATAAACTCCAGTCAGTGGAGGAAGATCTCAAATGCAAGACCCGGGTTTGATGCCTGCAATGCCTGCGCAACCTGGTTAGCTGCATCAGCCATTGACCGGCAGGTACAAAGTGCCAGGAGGTAAACTCAGCTATCGGTTCTCCGGGTAGGAAGGAGGGTAATGGGAGGAAATACAAACCAGAGTCTGGTGAGGCAATCAGGGTCTGGAGAGAAAACCAGCACCATTCTCACCTATCCTTCTGGTCCTTCTGTATGTAAAGGTCTCTGTCTGAGGCAAAGCTATAACATGTGTGTACAGCTGTGCACATGCTAATGCCCACCTAGTGAGAAGAGACGAATCACTAAATCTGGGGTCCCTTGTCCTTTGTTCTTCACCAGTAAAACCCATTTGCACAAAAGTTCTAAGTGTTTCAAACACAGTGTCTACAGAAAGTAGCTATGACTAATAGCATAATAGTAGTAATAATAATTATGACAGCTAATACTTATGAATTTGCTATATGCCATGTACCCTAGAAAGCTCTTTGCTAGCTTTACCATATTTAATCTTCCCAATGACCCTACAAAGTGGGAATTATTATCAACCCTATTTTATAGTGAAGGGAACTGAGGCCAGGAGATTATGTAATTTTTTTCAAGGTCATACAGCAAATGAATCAAGCTGCAAGGGGAGCCAGGTTCATCTGACATCAGAGCCCCAGTTCCTAGCTCCATTTGTACAAATACAATGGCCAGGCTGGTGACTGATCGAATGAGAGAGTGGGACAGGGGTGGGAGGGGGAGTCAAGGATGGGGAAGATGAGGTTCCTGGTTTGAATGACTGAGGATGTGGTTGTATGAGCCACTGAGACAGAAAACATGGGAGAGAATTCAGATATATGACTGTTTCTGTTTTGACCATAGCAACTCTGAGGGGCCAGAGGGAGTCAGTGTATAGGTTCTAAAGATCAGCAGAGAGGTCTTGAAAAAAAAGCTGAGGCCTGAATATATAGAAAAATGTAATAAGAGTAGTAAAAACCATTGAGCACTTTCTATGCAACAGACATTTGCTGAGTGTTTTTGCATACATGACCTTTTCGATTCATGTACAGCCCTGCAAGGTAGGTATTTTATTCCCATTTGCCAATGATAAAGTCATCCCTAAAACTCTCTTAGGATGGTGGAAGGAGAACCAGAAGAGACCAGCATCAGACAAGCTAAGGACTGAGAGAAATCCAAGGAAAGGGCATTGTTATAGCTGAAATATCTCCAAGAGGTCAAGCAGGAGAGTCACTGAAAATGGGCTACTGCATTTGGCACTTGGGAGGATATTGATGAGAAATGCAGGGCTGCCACTGAACTTCAGTCTCTGAAAGAGTAGAGGCACATTGAGAGAATCAAATAGTGCGAGCTCCTCTCCTAAGCCATATCATTAAGGGAAGCAGGGATATTGGATGTGCGTGCAAGGGACTTTGCTTTCCAGAAACATCAGCCTCCTGCTCGCTTCTTATTTGGGTAGCTGTGAGCCCAGGAATCTGTAGCATGCAGACATGAATTAGTATCCTGGCACAGGCCTGGCTCAGTGGCTCAGTCTGTAATCCCAGCACTCTGGGAGGCTGAGGTGAGTGGATTGCCTGAGCCCGCGGGTTCAAGACCAACCTGGGCACCTTGGTGAGATCTCATCTCTACAATAAATCAAAAATTAGCCGGGTGTGGTAGTGCATGCCTGTAGTTCTGACTACTTGGAAGGTTGGAAGGCTGAGGTGGACGGATCGCCAGAGACCAGCAGGTCAACCCTGAGGTGGCCACGAGCATGCTACAGCACTTCAGAGTGGGCAACAGAGTGAGACTTCAACTCAAAAAAAAAAAAAAGAATTCTGGCACAGTGCTGTCCACTGGCTGTGCAGCTCTGGGAAAGTTCCGTAAAGTCTCAATTTCCTGTTTTGTACAACGGGGGCAATTCTAATTCCTATCATAAGGGATTGTGATATAAGGATAAAAATGAGATAATGCTTATGACTGGCACAATGCCTGGCACCAGTAGGTGCTCAACACGTCACTACTGCAAATATTATTTGGTTCTCATTTTCCACTCCAAATCCCTGCAGACAGCATATGCTTCCTATAATAGGGTATTTTCATGGTATTTAAGTCTTAAATACTGAGAAAACAGCCATGAATTTTTAAAAGATTCATTTCAGACTTACAGAAACAAATTTGTTATTCCAAGCTAAATTGTTTCAGCTGGCTTGATAGTTTGGCTTCAGGTCTCAGAAAATAAGACATGACCCTCAGCCACATTATCAAGACTTGGGGTCTGTCCTGCTGGCCACTAGGGGAAATTCCCACCAAAGGATGACTCTTCAGGTCAGCTCAGTATGGCTAGGATTATTGTCTGGATCCATGCATTCATTGTCTCATTCAACAAATATTTATTGAGCATCTACTCTGTGCCAGGTCCTGGGCTAGTAGTAAGTGATACAAACAAGCAAACAAATAAATAACAACAACAACAAAACCATGCCTCATAGAGCTTACATGCTGTTAGGGAAGAAAGGCAATCGACAAAAATGTAAATGTATAATTTATTGCCAGATGGAGATAAATGACGTAAAGAAAAATAAAACCAGGTCAGAGGATGGAGTGAAGGGATGCCATTTTCAATAAGGTGGTCAGCTTGGGGGAAATGACCTTTGAGTAAGATCTCAGTGAACTGATGGATGCCTGGAGGAAAAGAATTCCAGGCAAGGGAAACTGCAGGTGCAAAGGCCCTGGGACAGGAGCTCACTTAGCTCACTTAGTCGTCACCAAATAGCAGTGAGACCACTGTGACCACAGCAGAAAGACCAAGGGAGAGAGGCCTAGGAGGAGTCTAAGAGGGGGTCAGAAGCTAGAACATGGGCCTTACTGGCCATGTGAGGACAGCAGATTTACACCTCAGCTCAATGAGAAGCCACTGAAGAATTCTGAACCCTGACTCATATGACCTTACTTATGTTAAGACAGGATCACTGGTGTGGTGTATAGAATGGACTGAATGGGCAGAGGGCCAATGATGGAATCAGTGAGACCTGTAGGAGGCTGTAAGAGGCCGAAATCCAGGTGGAGAGCATGGGGGCAGGGAGGAAGGTGACTGTGGGGGAGATGGAAAGAGACATTCGGATGTGGCATCCATTTTCAATTTAGAGTTGACAAGATTGACGTGGGGTTTGAGAAAAAGAGAGGTGCTGTTGGTGACCCTAAGATTTTTGGCCTGAGTTATCCAGTAAGTGAGGAACACTAGGAGTAGAGCATATCTGTTGGGGGAAATAGAATACTTGGTTTCATTGATGACAAGTGTGAGATTCCAGCGGAAATGTCGAGGGCGCTCCAGTCCCCTCTGCTGTGGTAGGAGGACTGCAGAGGAGCAGGAGCTCGACAGCTGGCAGGGACATCAGGCAGGGAGGAGACTGCTGCCTCCAGCCAGGGCAGCAGCATGATGGCTAGGGTTGAGAAAAAGGGGGTGGGGCAGGGATGGCTGGTGTGGTAAGGCAGACTTGCGGGTGTTCTTCTTTGGCCTGGGTGTTGGGACCCAAGCCAGCCAGCATAGGAAGCACATTAGCGGAGACACACAGTCTTCAGGGACCATTTTTCTTTAAAAACCATCAATTTCCCATCCACACCAGAAGGCTGTTGCTTTGCCTGGGCCTCCCCAGAGGCTGTGATGGGAGACAGTGAAACAGCTTCTGGCAGCTCCACAGCCTCCCCCCTCAGCTCTCCCTCACCCCCCTGCCTCAGAGAACAATGAAATCTTTAAGTGAGATAGCGCAGAGGAAATGCAAGAACAGGGGTTAACCAAGGGGGCACAATACAGCGGGAGCGTGATTTCCCTGCTAATAAGCAGCTTATGGGGCTGGCAGATCACAGCCTCCCTGTTAAGTGTTTCTGTGTTTTTCAAATGGAGCTGTCACTGCCCATTAGCTTCCGGAGCGCTCCCTAAATGGAGACGTCAGCCCTTGGGAGGCACAGCCCGATCTGTACCCCGCCTGCTGAGTCCTTGGAGAATGGGCTACTGGGTGCCTCCGATCTAATTACAAACATGCTGCAGATATCACACCTGCCTCTCTGGCTTGTCTTGCGTAGATACTTCAGCCTCACCCAGCAGCTAAAAGAAAATCCAACCCCCCTTGTCATCAGGGTACCCCAGTGGGGTTCCAGGAACAGGAATGGGGGCCAGAAACTGACTAGATTATTGAAACCACAAGCCAGGGTTGAGGAGTGGAGTCAGAATTTTAACTTGTTGAATTGCACTCCTGAATTTAAGGACCTAGACAGTTTGAAAAGCCTATTTGTGAGCTGTTACACATGAGCTCTTTTTTTCTCTCCTCTTCTCTCTCCTTCCCCCACCCCATACATCTGTCTCTCTGTCTGTCTCTATCTGTCTCTCTCTCTCTCTCTCTCTCTCTTTCTCTCTCTCTCTCTGAGTTGGGGTCTCACTCTT